CACGGAGGAAAATTGAAACAGGAATTTCCTTAAGTACTTCCGTATATTAATACATCTTCAGGAGGAGTGCTGAAGATAAGCACTCCTTCTGCTTCATCTTCAGATGAAGATGGAGATACTCCTCCTGAACATGTATTAATATACGAAAGTACTTAAGGAAATTCCTGTTTCAATTTTCCTCCGTGGTCTGACACTGTCATATGTGTATATATGTGTGTGTTTACAGAATATGTGGAAGCTGGTCAGAATTGCATTTCATCTTTGTACTCACCTAATTGTGCTTGCGGGGGTTGAGCTTTGGCTCTTTGGTCCCGCGCACATTAACGATTGCACATTAACGCACATTGTAACGCACTGCCCGTAACGCTTTGCGCTGCCCGAAACGCTTTGCGTAATAGTGGCTTTAGGCATTGTATGTACTAGCTCCTATCTATAAAGCCAACAAACTTTGTAAAATCTCTTTATGTATGTACCTTTGCCTAAATAAAAATTATTATTATTATTATTATTATTATTATTAAAAATTATTATTATTATTGTAAACGCACATTAATGACACTATGTAAAAGACACATCGAACACTGTTTATGTAGGACAGATGTAATTCTGTGTATTTGTTTGTAGGTTAGATTAGCATTTTAGAAGCACTACAATCAACCACAAATTGTTCAATAAATCACAGAACTATATGTTTAACAGATCTTTAACCCTGTCCATGGAGGACAGAAGAAAATGTATATATGCTGGTTAGCACTGTAAATGTGTGGCCACGTCTGTGGTAGAAAATAATAATAATAAACTGCTTTGTCTTCTATGTTAGTGTTTTTATGTGGATGGAGGGGGGGGGGGGGGTACACCGCTTCACACCGGGGGCGTTATTCCCAAAATATGCAATAAATGAAAAGTCGTTCAATTTCAATCAAACTTTTTTGACAAGTTGTATATGAAAAGGGTTTCATTTGGTCCAAGTTTCAGCATCGTTGCATAAATAGGAAGGGAGAAAAAAAATATTGAATTGTGTGTCAAAAATTTTCCAAAATGGTCAAAAACAATTATCAAATAAAAATGTCAACTGAAATCATATCTATGACTCTCAGCAATCACAATAGCATATATTAAAAACAAATTATAAATAGTTTTATAAAAAAAATTAGTTAAAAAAAAAGCAAATTTTCCTTTTTTTTTTAATTTTATCTCTCTTTTGTTTATTGGGCGATTTGCATGAAACTTATACACGTGACTGCAGGTAAGCCTATCTGTAAGGGTGCCAATTTTGGAGGAAATTGGTTGATGTCAACCTCAGCCACAGATGGCAGCACCTTAGACTTTATTTTTTACTTGAATGTTTGTTACTTGAATATCTTTCATTTGTTATTCCATTTACATGAAACTTACACATTATATGTAAATTTTATGTCTCCAAAATCGTAAGAAAGCGTTTTATCCCGAGTTCATTTATTGACTTTATAATAGCAATAAACATGATATATTTGCATAATTTTTTTGGGGGGAACTTAGACTATTTGTATTAGGAAAACTAAAGACGTTTTGGAAAAGCCCTTTCAAGAAATCCTTTATTATATGTTAATGTGTCAGAAAAGTGTCATAGAATGATTATATCTGAAAGGTGTGGTTGTAAACTTACACTTGAAAATGTGTAAAATTCGTTGAAAAAAAATAAAAAAAATAAAAATCTCCCTTACTATTTAGGCTACAGTGCTGAAACTTAGAACAATTGCAGCGCTTTTCATATACAACTAGTCAAAAATAATGGTTGACACTGAACAACAACTTCATTTACCCGAATGACGCCCCCTTCACAGCGCTGGGGCAGAAGGGGTGGGGGGAGAGGAGTGAGAGGTCACTGTACCTTACAGTGGTCAAGAGAGAAGGACGAGGTTAGAGTCGTGACCTTGGCAGTCGGTAAACGCATTTATAATCAGTATATATCATGTTAAGCATGTGATGAGTGACACAAATGGATAAAACCAGTATTTTGTTTGGTAATAAATCCACAAATCATATTAAACTAAGAATTAACAATACCTGAATTAGTAACGGTAGATGGTAAATTCCTTGCGGTTCAAATTGATAAATAGTTTAATTTCCAGCGTCATATATAAAACATCACAAAAACAAATGTCTGAAACAGTTGGAATTCTTTCTAAAATCAGATACTATGTACCTGGATCTGCTCTGGTAACGCTTTATTACTCTTATCTATTCTAACCTATGGTATCTGTGTCTGGGGTTCTACTACTCAAAATTATCTACGACCTCTAATTACTCAACACAAATCAGCAATTAGAAAGATAAACTCTGGCCCCAGACAGTACTCGTACCCTTTATCTTTGAAAACGGTCGATATTATATTAGTCACTGCACATCCTCTCAAGTGTACTTTATATTTAGAAAACGATGAACTACAATGTTAATCACAACCTAATAAGCTTCCTAGAGAGTTAAAACAGTTCCCATAGGAACCTCACTAGAAACAAATATCTGATATTCCAAGAGTGCGACTTCACCAAAGCAGGAATGATCTGCAAATCAAAGGTCCCAAGATGTGGAATGACCTTGCTAATCACATCACTGTCTTTCAACCAATTTAAGAGAAACTAAGAACTACTTGGTAAACTCTATGTAACCTTCATTACTTCCTAAATGTCAACCTATGTTTTGCTGTTCTTTGTAACGTATATTTACGTACATATTTGGTTGATTAGACACAGAGTTTAGTGTTTTTTTGTTATATTAGTATAGTCTTAGTTCAACCTGTCCTCATACTAGGCCGTTTCAAACAGCGGCCGTCCTCCCCAGACGCATTTATCAGTTTTAACAATGTGTATTAAAAATTGGTTTGTTCTCTTATATATAAATTAATATTAGTATACATAAAACTTGTATGTATAATTAGACGTAGGTTAAGTGTTTAGGTTCTGTTGGCGATTATTTGTATTTGAAGTACGTGGGTGAAGCATTTATAGAATTGTGGTTAGAGTCGTGTGTAAACAGTTTTCATTTATAAACGGGGGTTGGCAGCTGGATTAACGCGCTTGGATCTTTGTGAGGACAGGCTGCTTGGTTACAGCAGTTGGTTTGCAACCCGTCTTCCAAACAAAGACCCAAAAGTTATTCCATGCAACTCCCAAACCCCCTGTTTATGAATGGAAAACGGTTTACACACGACTCAAAACGGATGACATTCGAACACCTCCGAACAAGTGTTTTATTGATGCACAATATGCTAATATATTATAATAATTTATATATGAGAAAATTCCTGTTTTCAACGAACAGCATATAAAAATTTATGAATGCGTCTGCGTGGGGGTGACCGCTTGATGTAATGGACTTGAGTCGAGGACGGGTTGCAGACCAAATCCATTCTATCCAATGATCGACCCCAAAGACGCATATATCAACTTTAACATTGTTTATTCAAAACAAAACGTTTCTCAATGTTTTCCTTGCTCTTTTTGCTGATGGGCGTGTAATTAAGACACTTGTATTTCAGGGTACAGATATAATGGGCTAAAATGAGCTAAATAAAGTCTATCTGTGGCTAACTGCCAACAAACTCACCCTCAACATTGACGAAACTTTCTACATTTTGTTTGGTAATAAATCCTCAAATCAAATAAATATCAGGATAAACAATACAAAAACTTGTAACACAGTAGATGGCAAATTCCTTAGCGTTCTCATTGACCACAAGCTGAATTTCCAGGGACACATTCTAAATATATAAAAAAAAAAGTTTCAAAAACTGTTGTCATTCTTTCAAAGATCAGATATTATGTACCACGCCCTGCCCTGGTGACGCTCTATTACTCTCTCATCTATCCTTATCTCAACTATGGTATTTGTGCTTGGGGTTCTACTACCCAAAATCATTTACGTCCTCTAATTACTCAACACAAAGCTGCTATTAGAACAATATCCAACTCTGGTCCCAGACATAACTCGGTACCCCTACTCAAATCTCTGAATATGTTAGATATTAAGTCACTGCACATTCTCTCATGTGTATTTTATATATGTAAAACGCTGAACTGTAACATCAATCCTGACTCTAAAAGTTTACTAGAAGGTTTTAACAGAACTCACGAGCACCACACCAGAAACAAATACCTTTTTGATATTCCAAGAGTACGACTTAATCAAACTAGAAATGCTCTACAAATCAAGGGACCCAGAATGTGGAATGACCTTCCCAATCATGTTAAAGACTGTACCTCTCCCAACCAGTTTAAGATAAAAACTAAACACTACCTAATTAACTCACTGTAACCTACCTTACCCCTATAATGTCAACCCATGTCTTCTATTTTTAAACAATTCTGTTTGTCGACCAAATTTTATATTTGCTATTTTTCTGCCATGTTCCCCCCGTTTTTATTTTTATATTTTCTCAACACAATTTATACTTTAATATCAATGAGTATTAAGTTTTAGTCTTTAGTGTTTTTCCTGCCCGAAACGCTTTGCGTAATAGTGGCTTTAGACATTGTATGTACTAGCTCTATCTATAAATCCATCAATGTTTGTATCACCCCTTGTATGCATGTACTTTACCTGAATAAACATTTGAATTTTGAATTTTGATACTACAAGGGTGCTCTTGACAAAGTAAACTGGCTGTGTTACAACGGACACTTGGGGATCCGGTGAGGCACCCCCGACTAAGGGGTAATGAGAGAAGTAACAGGGGTATGTATGGCATAGAGACAGAGTTAAGGGGACAAGGGTCAGTTAAGGAAGGAGGGCTGGCATTTCGTTGTGAAGCGGACCGTGGCTACATCATAAGTAGGGACGGGACTCTCCTTCCAGTCCCTTAAAGAACTCATACTGTGCGCACAGCGTTTGTGTAAAGCGCTGCGCCAATGTCTTTTCTCCTCTTTCAGAAATTCCCCCCGCTTTCCCGGGAAAGCAGTGCTCATTTTTCAGGGAACAGATTTTTTTTTGTAATAAAAATTAACATGCATCTATATTTACAGGCCGTCGTGCAAACTGTTCTACAAGGATGATCCCATCAAAATACTACGAGCCTCTGGAGTCTACATGTACGACGAGCAAGGCTGTAGATACCTAGACTGTATCAACAATGTTTGTCATGGTAGGTTGTAGTGCATGAGAGAAACTTTCCCGTGATTTACAATTTTTTTATTAAATGTTATTTAGTCAGAAATATCCACAAGACAAGGAATAAGCAAATGCAAGTCACCGATTATAATACATATTCTATATTTGTACAAACCCAAGGAGGGAAAGAGCACAAACTCCTGTGTTTACATGTTGGTAAGGTCTGAGCTGGTCGGTTGTCTTTCGCCAGCTCCTCTGCCGTTTTCTCTGATCTCTGCTATGTTGTAGGAGATACTGAAGTCATTAGTTATAATAATAATAATATTAAAATTTTTAATAAATAAATAAATTTGTATTCAGGAAAAGTACATACATAGTTGATTCACAAATATAATGTTGGATTTATAGATAGAGCTAGTACATACAATACCTAATGCGATAATACGCACAGCGTTTCGGGCAATTAAGGTGTGGGGGAAAAACCCCACTTAGACTAAAACTTAATAGTAATTGGGATTAGGTATAAATCGTGTTGAAAAAATGAATAAAAATAAAAAAGGGGGGAACATGGCAGAAATCAGCGATCGTAAAAGTTGGAGAACAAACAGCATTGTTTAACGAAACGCTTTGCGTAATAGTGGCTTTAGGCATTGTATGTACTAGCTCCATCTATAAATCGATCAAATTATGTAAAATTTCTTGTATGTATGTACCTTACCTGAATAAACATTTTATTTTATTTTTATAAAAGCAAGACATGGGTTGACATTTACATGGAGTTAATGAAGTAGCATTTGGTTTTACTCTTAAACTGTTTGAAAGGGGTACAGTCTGTGACACGATTGGGGAGACCATTCCACATTCTGGGTCCCTTGATTTGTAGAGCATTTCTAGTTTGGTTAAGTCGCACTCTGGGAATATCAGATGAGTATTTGTTTCTGGAGTGGTGCCCATGAGTTCTGTTACAACCTTCTAGGAAGCTTCTAAGGTCAGGATTGACATTGCAGTTCAGAGTTTTAAATATATTGAGTACACAAGAGAGGATGTGCAGTGACTTAATATCTAACATATTCAAAGATTTGAGTAAGGGTACCGAGAGCTGTCTGGGGCCAGAGTTAGATATTGTTCTAATATTAGCTTTGTGTTGAATAATTAGAGGACGTAAATGATTTTGTGGAGTGGAACCCCAAGCACAAATAAGTCACCGATTTACAAGAAGGTACAATGGATTGGTTAGATTACATAGGACTGGTAATTTTTGCATTCATGCAAAGCCACTAACACGCATAGCGTTTTGGACAGGTCTTTGATCTAACATATTAGATACGATGAAAAGGTACATTGTAGCAAGGGTTTGTATCAACAAATAACTACAATGTAAGTTAACAGGGGTGATTACACTGGTAAGGATGTGTCTTAAGTACTAATATTAGGGAAGTGGGTAGTACAAGATACAGTGTGAGTTTGAAGCACAAGGTAGGAAACTATGAGCATGTAGTTAGATACTGTGATTTTATCTTTGAGCGGGAAATGGGTTGGACAATTTTTTAATTCATCAGGAATTGTATTTCAAAAACTGGGCCCTTTTATTTGCACGGAGTGTTTGTACAGACTTAGTCTGACTCGAGGAATATCAGGGAAATTTATTTCTGGTGTGGTGCTCATGTTTTCTATTACACTTCAAGGAAAAGTTTCAGATCAAGATTTGCATTTAGGAACAAGGATTTGTACATTTAGATATCACATGAGAATGTGTGGAGTGAGTGTATGTTTAGCATGTTAAGGGACTTAAACAGAGGAGCTGTGTGTTGTCTGAAGACAGTTTGTTATAGTTCTGATGGCAGATTTTTGCCGAGTGATGATAGGCTTGAGGTAATTTGCAGTGGTTGAACTACATGCACAGATACCGTGTGTAAGATATGGGTAGATTAGTGCATAGTATAATGGGAGGAGAGCAGAATGGGGAACATAATATCTGATTTTAGAAAGTATACCGACTGTGTTTTATACTTTTTCACCATGTGTTGTATATTGGTGCTAAAGTTCAGTCTCTTGAACTTTTGAAGTTCTAATTCGTTATGTTTAAAATGGTTTACAATAACTGCTGTTATTGTTTCCTATCTCCTTCAAGATTGTGTCTAATATGTCAGACACATTGCATGTGTCCTAGCTTTTTGTTATACCTGAGTGACACTCTGGTGGCCTCGAGAGGAACAAGAAGCTGGCACTTGTCAGAGGTCTTCCCTGCATTATTCCTGAGAATATTTTCCAACTTGATTTTGAATGCAGTGCAGTAATGTCTTGGCATTTACAGCATGGGTGGGTAGGCAGTTCCATGGGTTTATAACCCGATAGGCCAGGGTTCCCCTCATTGATATATACTTTGCTTATTTTTCCCCCCGACATTTTCTCCTTATTCTCCCATCATTTGACGGGAGAATAATTCTCTCTTCCTCTCCCATCTCAACCTCAACTAGTGTGGTCATCTCATCTCCCTATTTCACTTTCCATTACCCACAAAATATCCTCTCCATTGAACATCTATGCTAATATTTCAGTTGTTAGTGATATAATTGCAAGATAAAAATGTGTATACTATCAGACTCCTGGTTCAGCCTTGATGACATGCGGACGTCTGGACACCTTCGCCCGGGAGCTGCCAGATCACGTTCGGTTTATAATTTTGATATTGCAGTTTGGCTTTCCTATTCAACGGTCCAGATTGTTGCTACGTCTGGCGCATATATCGTATTGGGTCACAGGATAGTGATAGATTTTGAAAGTTTTCTGGCTGGTTCTCCCGGTGGGTGACGGTGTTGTCACACACCGTCAAATTAAATTGGGAAAAAATCTCATGGCGACGAGATGTGTAAGAGTTAAATAACCATTGGCCATGACTTTCGGTAGGCAAGAGTGAGGTCTTGTATATAGAGGCTATGTGCAGCTACTGACCAGTTTCATTACATTCAGCACTTTATTTTGATGCTCAGTAGACTATTAATAACTGCAGCTCGTCCCAGACCCCCATCTCAACTACTCTCACATTCAGCCCTTAGCCATCTAGTTACAATACTGTACATTGTATTAAATGTAGAATACTTTTTAACATGCACTTTGTACTCGCCTAGTTGTGCTTGCGGGGGTTGAGCTTTGGCTCTTTGGTCCCGCCTCTCGACTGTCAATCAACTGGTGTACAGATTCCTGAGCCTACTGGGCTCTATCATATCTACATTCGAAACTGTGTATGGAGTCTGCTTCCACCATATCACTTCCTAATGCATTCTATTTGTTAACTACTCTGACTCTGAAAAGTTCTTTCTAATGTCTCTGTGGCTCATTTGCGTACTCAGCTTCCACCTGTGTCCCCTTGTTCGTGTTCTGCCCGTGCTAAAGAGTTTGTCTTTGTCCATCCTGTCAGTACCCCTGAGAATTTTGTAGGACGTTATCATGTCTCTCCTTACTCTTCTGTCTTCCTGGGACGTGAGTTTCAGCTTCTTTAGCCTTTCCCCATAACTCATACCTCTTAGTTCCGGGACGAATCTGGTGGGATACCGCTGAATCTTCTCTTTGTCTCGTGTTTAACTAGGTATGGATAGAAAGCTGGAGCCGCATATGCCAGAATTGGGCTGACATAAGTGGTATACAAGGTCCTGAACGATTCCTTACACAAGTTTCTAAAGGCAGTTCTTATGTTGGCCAACCTAGCATATGCTGCTGCTGATATCCTTTTGATGTGGGCCTCTGGGGACAGGTTCGGTGTGAAATCAACCTCCCAGATCTTTCTCTCTATTTGACTCTTGTAGGATTTCACCTCCCAGATGGTACCGTGTGTTCAGCCTTCTGCTCCCTTCGCCTAATTTCATTAATTTGCACTTTCCTGAGACACTTTAGTAGCCATTTTCTAGACCATTCCTCCAGCCTGTCCAGATCGTCCTGTAGTCTCTGCATGTCTGTCATCATATGTCTTGATGCAAAAATTATGTGAAGAACCATCAGCAAACATTGAGAGGAGTAGTTCTATACCCTCTGGAAGATCGTTTACATATATTAGAAGCAGGATAGGTCTAAGTACGGAGCCCTATGGGACTCCGCTGGTGACATCTCGCCACTCTGATGTCTCCTCCCCCTCACATTTACTTGTTGTTTCCTGTTGTTTGGATACTCCCTTATCCACTGGAGTACCTTACCTTTTACTCTTGCCTGTTGCTCCAACTTTCGTAACAGCCTTTTATGGGGTACTGTATCAAAAGTTTTATGACAGTCCAAGACAATGTAGTCTACCCACCCTTCTCTTTCTTGCCTAATTTTTGTTGCTTGGTCATAAAATTCTATTAACCCTATGAGGCACGATTTACCATCTCTGAACGCATGGTGGTGGAGTTACAAAGCTATTTCCCTCCAGATGCTCTACGAGCCTTTTCCTCATGATCTTCTCCATCACCTTGCATGGTATACAAGTTAGGGAAACTGGCCTCTAGTTCAGTGCCTCTTGCCTGTCACCCTTTTTGTATCTTTTGACTACATTAGCTGTCTTCCAGGTCTCTGGTAGGTCTCGTGTTTCTAGCGACCTGTTGTACACCATAGAGTGGCATGCTTAGTGCTTCTGCACCTTCTTTTAGTATCCACAATGAGATTCTGTCAGGCCCAACAGCCTTTGTCACATTCAGCTCCATCAGATTCCTTTTGACCTCTTCACTGGTGAGGTCAAAATCCTGCATGGTTGCTTGGTTTGTCTCCTCATTTAGCACCGTGGCTTCTCCTTGTTCTTTTGTGAAGACCTCCTGGAATCTCTTGTTTTCACACACCTCCTTGTCATTCTCTGTGTATCTATTCTCCCCTTTTCTCAGTTTCATCACTTGTTCCTTCACCGCTGATTTCCTTCTGATGTCGCTGTGAAGCAGCTTTGGTTGGGTCTTGGCTTTACTCGTGATGTCATTTTCATACTGTCTCTCTGCTTCTCTCCTCACTCTGAGGTACTAATTTCTTGCCCTCTGGTATCTCTCCCTGTTCTCTGGCGTTTGTTATTCCTGTAGCTTCTCCATGTTCTTTTACTCAGTTGCTTCGCTACCTTACATTCCTGCTTGAACCATGGGTACTTCTGTTGCTTTTCGCTTTTCTCCTTTTGGACTGAGATAAATCTATCTGCAGCTTCCTGGCATTTCTGGGTGACATAAACCAGCATATCCTGCACAGTCTTCACTCTGAGTTGTTTCCCATGGTATTCTCTTTAGGAAGTTCATCTCATCATATTTTCTTCTTCGGTAATTCAGTCTTTTCCCTTCCAGTCCCATCCTTGGATAGGTTATCCCTACCTCCACCAGATACTCAAATGTCGATACACTGTGGTTAATACACACAATACACTGTCAATACACTGTGGTTAATACACACAATACACTGTCAATACACAGTGGTTATGTGGTAGACATTGTTACATTTTCTTCGGCTCCTTCTTTTGATAATTACTTGTGGTGGTAGGGATGGAAATGCCTTTTGAATATTGACAAGTACAGTACAGTTCTGTAAAAAAGTGAGTGAATATTCATATATGGATGAGATATATTTACTGTACATATACTGTACAGTATATGATTATATATAGTCATGTATATTTTTTATTTCAGTGGGCCATTGCAACCCATACGTTGTCTCGGCAGCAATGCAGCAAATGTTGGTTCTCAACACAAACAGCAGATTCCTGCACGATAATGTTGTTCTCTATGCACAAAGGTCTCAGTAATGTTTTCTGTTAAATATTTGCCATCTATGCAGTTTGTGATTTAAGGCAATTTTAACTAATTGGTTCTCTTGAGTAAATTAGCAGTGCAATTAATGTTTCTGTTTGAAGTTACAAGAAACATTTTGTATCATTTTTATTTTAGAACAACAAAATCTCAAATTTTTATGCAAGTTAATTGCATAAAAAATTCTTTTATGCAAGTTAATAACTTGCATGAAGTTTCATAAACTACTGTAATAACTTGCATAACTCAATATCTATAAATTTATTCTTTGAACCTGTATATTACTTTTATTAAAAGGTTTGCAGAAGATTGCTGGTTCATCTTAACCAAGGGTAAGAAACCCATTGGCAATTGATTTTTTAATATAAAATTGTATATTTGTAGAATATTTGATCTTGGTCTTAAAAATAGTCATGCTTTTCATTTGGTACTGAAATTTAATTTAGTTAATTTATTATACACCCTATACTTATATGCACCATATATGCATCCTGTGGGCAGTAGTAGAGAGGGCTATAGAAGCACATAATGGGCTAAGTTTATGAGCCCCAAAATTCATTTAGGTAAGCAAGTTAGCCTTGGTAAGCTAGTTACATAGTTCAATGGTAGGGGGGGTTTGAGAACGACCACAAATGCAGTTTCTAAGCTAAGCAACTTCTATTTGTGGAGAGCTAGTTTCATAATTTTATTTTCCTATGGACACCTCCCTCATACAGTTATGGACACCTCCCTCATACAGTTTTTTTTTTTTTTTTTTTTTTTTTATTATTTTCTACCACAGACGTGGCCACACATTTACAATGCTAACCAACATATATACATTTTCTTCTGTCCTCCATGGACAGGGTTAGAGAAGTGTTAAACATACAGTTCAAGGGTTTATTGAACACTCAACCACAGAAGGTGATTCGGTGCTTTTAAAATGCTAAGCTAACCTACATACGTAAATACAAAGATACACAGATTTACGTACGCCCTACGTAAAGTATTAGATGTGTCTTTTACATAGTGTCATTAATGTACATTCACAAAGGTGAAATGTAATTCTGATCAGCTTCCATATATGCTTTATACCCATACATATACATACACACACACATACACACACACATACACATACATATATACACACATACATGCATTCACATACATTTGTCTCATTTACCCTGACAGGGTGAGGTAGCTGATTCCCTCATACAGTGGGTGGGAGTGGTAAAGTTACAATCACCCACATTTACTACTTACTGGCAAACTGAGGATATTTGGCTATTAGTGAATGTCATGGGATTTTTAAAAATGTAAACAATGAAATCAAATCAAATAAATTATAGTACATTAATTACACAACATACAATTATCATAGCCTATAGACATTATTATATACTGCACAATTTAATCAATCAATTTCCAATGAAGTGGATGGTGTGAATAACGAACCTTCAGTATAGATGCTTAACAGTTTTATATTCACATACTTCTTCTTTCAACAGGTTACTAAGTTACTTCCCAAAAGAACTGTGTGTGTGTTACTTTGTAAACTCTGGTAGCGAAGCCAATGATTTGGCACTGCGTATGGCACGTACACACACTGGCAAGAAGGATGTCATTACCTTAAACCAGTAAGCTGTTATTTATTTATTTATTTATTTATTTATTTATATTGTTACGGTAAAATTACTAATAGAGCAGTGGCTATACTCTCAACCTACACTCTAGATTTGGGAAAGAACTTCATGGGTAAATACACTTTGTACCTCAAGGTTCATGTTTGAAATGTTAGTTCCAATTAACTCCCATGCATGCAGCTTAACACTGTGCAGATCTAAGGTTCATTCTGAACTTGTCCCGTCTGAAACCCTGAAACGTCTTTTGCCCCTCCTTTCAGATGACCACTTTGTCCCAGGTCCAGCTTCTTTTGGAACCGGATGCTTGGATGGTGTGTCTGGACCTCCGAGATGCGTATTGGCATGTCTCGATTTGGGGTTTAGAAATTGGCTTGGTTTTGTCATGGGGTGGCATACTTAATGCCTTCGTTGTCTTCCATTCAGCTTGAATCTGGCTCCTCCCGTTTTCACACGCCTTACCGGGTAGTAAGTGACCCAAATGGTGGCCCATTTGCGTCTGCTAGAGGTTCAGGTTCTGGCCTACCTCGACGACTGGCTGCTTTGGGCCTCCAGCCGGTTCATGTCTGCTCGCCAGGGATTTGGTTCTTTCCCAGCTTGCCGGGTTCGGTTCTTCGTGAACTGGAGGAAATCCATTTGGTTCCCTCTCAGGTTTGGACCTGGCTGGATCTTTTGTGGGACACTCTGACCACTTCCTTGTTTTCCAACCCCTCCAGCAGCATTGCTGCAGTCCCACCTTTGGCGACTTTTGGAGGGCGCCTAGGTCACTCGTCGCTTGTTCGAGCAGCTATGTAGGAGTCTGAATTTCACCGTGCTGGTCTGCCTGTCGAGTTGGACCAGGCTGAAGCCGCTGTTATGGTTCCTTTGTGGACGTCCCTCCCGTTGCTCTCGTGATCGCTGGGTTCGGACCCCAGAGGCCTCGCACCGGCTGCTGTGTCGCTGGCTTCCTCTTCGGGTTTTTCAGTTCAAGAGGTCAATTACCCGTATCTCTTCCCCCCCCCCCCTCTCTCCCCTGGTCTAGCGGTTGCTTTGGGTTCTGGCACAGTTGGAGACTTACCAGGGGAGAGTATTCATGTTTGCCCCTTGATGGTTGGCCCAGCCCTTGTTTCAGGTGCTGCTTGCTCGGTGTCCGAACCTGGGGTTCTTTCCATGGCTCCGCCTCTCTCAGCAGATTGGTCCAGTCCGGTATGTGGCTGGTTCGATCTTTTCCTCTGATCTTCCCGTCTGGTCTTTCTGACGCGGGTTTATCACCGCTTGAATGGTGATCAGGTGGCTTTGTTGGTGTCCCACCTGCATGTTTCGTCTTGGCAGCAGTATTAAGTTTCCTGGTGATCCTTTCGTCACTTTTTGTCTCTTTGTAGGTTGTCTTCGATTTCTGATCAGGTTGTTTTGTCCTTTCTCTCTTGGCTGTTTCAGGACCTTCATCTTATGCCGAATACTGTTGCCATGTATCGTGCGGCATTGGCAGATCTGCTTCAGCTTGCGTTTCGGGTGGATGTCACTTCTGCTCCGTTCTGCAAGCTATCTTGTGCATTGTTTCACCTCAGGCCTGCTTATATGCCGCCTGAGCCATCCTGGTCATTGGACCAGATGCTCTCTTTTCTCCTCGGTTTCTGGTGGCCCCCTTAGATTCAGGATTGTTTTTCTAAGGCTCTTTTCTTGTTGGCATTGGCCTCTTCGGGGAGCTTCATGCTTTCCACCGGCGCAGGGGTTTCTGCTCTTTTGATCTTGGTGGTCGTTTTGTTCGCTTGCAGCCGTCTCCTTTTCTGGCAAAGAAAAGGAGGATGAAAAGCATGAGCAGGATGAACTACAGCAGGGGAAGGACAACGAGGCACAGATGAAATCAAAGTCAAAGCGACTAATGCTCCCAAGTCCGAGTCCCTATAAACAAAGTGGAGCAGCCTCTGGCCATCCAGAAAGGCAACCAACCTAGTGAGTTACAGCCACTTAAACCTGACATGCAACGCTGAAGCCGCCTGCACCCGATTATCAATATCAGTGGATTGTGTGAACTGGAGTACAAGCAAGGAACACCACTCAGAGGACTCAGTGTCAAAGGTGCCATTGATCCAACAGGCAGCATGGCAGAGGCAAAAACGTTGAGTGTCACCCTGAGACAAGAGAACAGAGCAACGTTTAAACTCTCACGAAGCGAGGTGAGCCTTGGAGCATGCATCCATTGGACCAATGAGCCTTACTGAGGGTTTCCAGAGCCCTTAGGCCCTAAGGGAAGGCCCTTAGGCTGACTGCTAAGGGAAGCCCAGGCAAGTTACTGCTAACTGGTTATCCCAGAACTACTAAACAAACAAAAGCTCAACCCCTGTGATGTGTGCAATCACGGGAACCTAGCAGTGCCTCCCAAATAATACAAGTGGTCCTACAGACACACCAAGCCCAAGCCAGGTGGGCTGGGTTTGTAATTGTTGACATCAGTGAGATCACCACATTTGTGGACTGGGGTTACTCTCGCTTTTTTTTAGAATATCCGGAAAGGGTTGGAGTTCAAGTAATTTGCTCTTCAACAAATCACCCCCACCCCTGTGGTGTGATTTGATGATGTCAACCATTCCAGACCTATCTCAATTCTGCCAACCTTGTCAAAAATATTTGAAAGGCAGCTTTACAAGCAGCTGTACTCATATCTACCCCTCCGAGGTGCCTCCTTGCCGTGGTGAGGGTCTCATGTACACCTCCCTGGGACCGGTGTGGGTTGCCTGTGCCCCCTCTCCTGCCCCCTCTTTGGGTGGTGTACGTGCTGAATGGCACCATGTAGGGGCCTTGTGAGCCATCGGACCACCCGCTGGAGGGGTCGCCTGTGAGAGGCCACCCTGAGTGGATGGTTGGGTCCAGGCTAGGGCGATAGGGGGACTGGGGTCTTAGCACCAGTGTGGGAGAATGAACGAAGTAGTAGGACTCCCCTGTTGAAAAGGGGGAGCACCGCTGGGGACGACGCACCCTTTCTGCACTGGCCCGCGCTCGGCCTCCCTGGCTGCCCTGGTAGGTGGTATCCCTTGGTTCCGGGTCCCATTCTTTAGATATTGGTTTGCTGCATGGATGACGACTTGACTTCTCTCACCCAGACTCATGGGGTGGGCGACCAGGCCCCTGAATCGGACCGTCCTGGAAGACCGGGATCTGTAGCCCCCCACTACAGAACCCGGTTTAGGCCCAGACCAGACTCTTCCTCCCTGCTCCCCTTCCTCCTCTGTGGTTGGGTCGAGCCCCAAGCCTGCTGTGGTGACCGTCTCGTCCCCTTGCACGGCTCCATCTCTTTTTGTGACTACTGCACCTTTTGACCCGTCTCTCTCTAAAGATTCTCATCGCCGTCCCCGCCACGGCCGCTCTCGTATGCTCCCTTCCCATCCTAATTCGTTCCATGCTTTGTGTGGCCCTGCTACGTGGACTAAGAACTTTGACCTCCTTCCTTTGGATTCAACTCCTGACGATTTTTTCCTTCATAGGCATCTTGTCGAGTCCGTAGATGCCTCTGTCACCTTCAACCCCACTCGTCTTGATACCAGCGTCGTTGCTGCTCCTTCTCAGGATGCGGTCACCCACTTGGCCGCCTTATCCTGCCTTGGCGAGACCCCTGTTCGGGTCTCGAAGAACGCTCGGTTGAATGCCAGTGTTGACACTGTTCTCCTCCCACACCATGTTGCGACCGGTGTTCGGGATCTCAAGGACTGCCACGAGAATATCAAGCATATCCTCGAGGCCCAGGGTCATTCTATCCTCCAGGTGGATACTTTTACTCGTCCCCCTCGTGGTCATCACTGTCTGCCCCTTCGGGTTGTAAAGGTTACCCCTTGATGGTAGGACCCTTCCGCCCTCTGTCATTCTTGCTGGTGCCAGATGCTTCGTTCAGGAGTATATTCCATCTCCTCGGCTCTGCAATAAGTGCTGGAGGTTTGGGCATGGTGCCCTCATATGCTCTAGTCCTGTCTCTCTGTCCTTTGTGCGGAGGCGAGGATCACTCTAAATTGGAGTGCACTTCTCCCCAGGCCCGCTGCCTCAATTGCGGTGAGGCCCACCTTACCTTCTCCCGTACGTGTATTCATTACAAACTTGACGCGGCTGTCCTCAACTTGGAGCACCGAGATAGTTTGTCTTTTCCTGAGGCTCGGCGCCAGGTTCATAGTCTCCCTCTTTCGCTGGCGTCTATGCTCGCGTGGTGCACTCTTCCTCTCCTCATCCTTCCCACCTTCCTCAGTCTCGCAACCGTTTCCAAGCCTTAGACCCAGACACGCCCAACACCACTTCCCCCGTTTCCCTCCATTCTGTCCCGGAGGGTTCCCCTCCTGGTTCTCTGTCTAGGGCTCCCCTTCTTTCTACCAAGTCTGTCACGTCTCCTGTGTCTTCTTTCTCCTCTCCCTCTGGTCCTCCTTCTCCTCCGTCTCTTGGCTCTCCATACCGCCTGACTGTGCGGGCCGATATGTCCATCGCTCTCCTGGTGGTCGTGTTGTTTGCTCTCGCTCTTCTTCTCCTATCGAGACACTGGAGTCTGTTGCCCAGTACATTGCTGCTGGGACGCCTGTCTTTGAGTCAGAAGCGGAAACCTGGCTCCTCTCCTTCCTCCTCCCCGGCCGGTAAGACGGCTTCGTTTTCTTCTTCTTAACCCCTGTCGCTGATTCTATCGTTCCTTCCCCTCCCGCTTCGGTGGTGGAGGCCCCGTTCCTACTGTGGGGGTTTCTTTAGCCCCCGGTTCCATCTCGGTTACTGCTCTTGCTGAGGTGCCCTCCCCGCTTTCTGCCCCTCCTCCAGACCCTGCTCGTCCACCTCTGGTCTGTCCTCCCGATTCTTTCCCTCCTTCTTTACTCAGTTTACCCATGCCCCCTAACCCTGACTTCGCTGACCCTGATCCTAACTCTGTGCTTTTTTAGCGTGCTGTGTTACTTCTTCACCTTTGTTTCTTCTTTGCTCTCTGTTGCTCTCCTCTCTCTCTTTGCTGATGTCTTTTCTCCAGTGGAACATCCGTGGATTTTACGCCAATTTCCTTG